CAGAGGGAGCACTTGGTGGGTCCCAGAGGGAGCACTTGGTGGGTCCCTGACTTAAGAAGATGAAGCTCTGTCTCAGTCCAAACACACTCCTATCACTGTTCAGGGTTAGGGTGGCCTGTGAGAGACACATCTCATGCTCCTAGTAGTGATTGGTGTGACTTGATGCTGAAAGTGTTTCTGGGCACAGCAAAAGGGAAACTAAGAGTCTAGGCCTTCCCAGGACAAAGTCCAAAAAGAGGCATGAGCTAAGAGCTCAGAACACATGAATGAGTTGAAGTCAGTGTCGGAACAGGCTCACCATGCACCTGTTGTCCTGTAAAATTACGTTTAAAGAGGCAACTGACTGAGAATACACTTATGGTATTGTCAGCTGGGAAACAAAGGCCTGGGAAGGAAGGGGCAGAGTTCAGCCAGATATAGCCGAAGTACTTGCTGAGCCCGCTGGTGGTTTTATAACCTAACTTATTTTCTCCAGTGTGTACTCCAAATTCTGTGTCGAGCATAAGAGTGATTGCATCTTTATATTGATGCTAACACTAATTCTGTGTTTATAAAGCAATTATAGCCATCAGGCCTTGTTCTCCAATGGCTTTACAAGCCCTCTGGGCATCAAGTCCCTAGCAGAGATGAGACCCTCCCTTGTGTCTGTGAATGCCAGCACTTACATTCAGAGTATTTCTGGAGTTGATCAAATTCTTCTGATGAGAGGGAGACCCATTGTCCTTCACTCATCTTTCAGCTGAGTATGATGGCCTCGAGACCACGGATGGAGTTCTGATCACCAGCGAGAAGCCAAGGCCCAGCTCAGGGCCTGGCTCATTACAGATGTGCAGTGGACGAGGCCTCCGGGAGACTTCTAGGACACTCGAGTGTTGATAATGGTTGTGGACACCTCTCAGCAGCTGGTGAGAGATTTCTGCTACTCCTCAGGTAACATATTCCTGCTGTAGTCCAGGCCAATCCCAGTTGTAATTCCTAAGTGAAAGCATAAAAGCCATTGTAAATGAGTTGCCAGGGAAAAAAGAATCCCAACACGATCTCTGTTGAAAGGCAGTAATGATTCCGTGTTTCATGAGGGTGCGGTCTACCTTCAGAGAGGTCTGAAGAGGGCCCAGAAGCCAGCACATGGCATCCCTGCTCCACTGTCTGGCTAAATGTCAGACTGACCTATGTGACAGGACAGCCATACTTCTCACACTGGGGAAGCTGAAAAGTCTTCCCACAAACCATGGTGTTCCCAGAGGCACACAAAGAAAATACCCTCAGCTGTTAGATGCCCTCAGAATCCTACTGGAACAGGAACCTGGTCAGCTGATTTGAGAGGGGCGCCTTCTCTCCCTCATTGATGTCCAGATCCTACCACAGGGCTTCTAACTTTGAGCTATGGGCCACTGTGTGTGAGATCAGCCCTCAGCTGGCAGTCTCTAGTGCAACAGGAGTTCTCAGAGCTAAGAGGCTTTTAGGGGAGGGTCTGTCAGCCTCGGGGTACAGGTGTTAGCTGGGTGGACAAGGACACAATGCCTTTCCCTCTGAACTTTTCATATAATAGTATGTTTCATTAAATCAGTTTCATGAGTGATAAAATTAGCCCAGTGGGCCAGGACTAGCATTTAAAGAATAAAACAGGTAAGTATGGAGCAGAATAATGTTTGCAGTAAGCGACGTTTCACAAGGCTTTCCTTTACTGTATGCTTACCTGTGCACACTGCATACACTTGCATATTTTTATTCTGGGTCAAAGATAGAAACAAGTTGGTAAGCCTTTGGCATAATAGGAAGAGACGTAAAGAAACTATAAGTTGAGTTTGAATGCCATGGAGTCTAAACTCTGGGGCTGACTTCAAGGCCATTAGCGGGGGTTGGGGGTGGCAAGTGTGCTAGCAATTCTGGAAGGAGGTGCCAGAAGGGAGACACGTGTAGGATCCCCCACAGCAGTGTGTAGTCATGGCTGGTGCAGGCCTGTCTGATAGGGGTGGATTATACCAAAGCTCCCTAAGAAAGCACTGTGGTGTGAGCAGGTGGTCAGGGAGTAGGAAGTCTGCTTCTCCGGAAGCCTTCGTAGTGATTTCTCTTCTAAGAAGGCTAGATGTCCTCCTTAACCTGAGAGCATCCTGGATTCATTTTCAACATCTTCTTAAGATCACAAGTTGCAAACCAGCAGGTCCTTCACAGTCCTTCTTAGCTCTGTTCTCTTTCTATACAGTTTGTTTCCCAGCAGGAAGCCCTCGCCTTGAACCTCTTAAGTCTCCCTGAGAGTCCCCACCCTGTCTCCTTCATCTTCCTTTGCCATCTCTGAACACTGGTGCTTCTCAGCTCGCCTCCGGTCCCTGTGGAACTTTATTCCTTCACAGCTTCTGTGACTCCCTAACACTGAGCCTTAGCCTCAATCTGGACCTGAAAATTCAGAGCTCTTCAGATCCTGCACTTGGATAGACTCTCTTTGAGACTCCTATATGTCCTGAATTACCTTAAACCAGCGCCCTATATACCTCAAATTACCTTAGACCAGCCCCTGCCAGTACCCTATATGTCCTGAATTACCTTAGACCAGCCCCTGCCAGTACCCTATATACCTCAAATTACCTTAGACCAGCCCCTGCCAGTACCCTCAAGCCACTTCCAACCTGTACTCCAGTTACCCAGAAGAATCACTCCTTGAGCCACAGACTGAGGCCCATTTGAAGCTTTCAACTTCCCTCCTGTCTAACCCAGCAGCAGTCCTGAGCCGTGGGGTCTATCCCATGCTCCCTCCTCTCTACCACACAGTCCTCCCCCCAACCTAGGCCTGACCATCTCTTTCTGCTGGTCTCCCTTCTTGGAATTTTGCTCTCTCTCTCTCCCCTTGTCTGCTCCTTCCCATGGCCAACCAGTTCACGTCTCTTCTGCTAATAAAATGCCCATTCATGATTTTTTTTTTTTTTGGTGACCTCTTTCTTTATGATCTAATCCCTGATGATTAATTAGTCAAAAGCAAGCAATGTCTTTTAACACTGTCTTTTAACACATGCTAGGGAACTGAAGAGTTACCTCTGCTTCTCTTAAGGGAGTCTCATTTCACATCGTGTTATGTGTTTAACACATGACATAGTCTAGTCCTTACATGAGCATGTATGTTAAGAACTGTCGTGTTCATGCTACAATAGACTCAATATACCCAAGAGATTATAGTGGAACCCGAAAGTTCCTGTGGCCCAGTAACAGTCTAACATTCAGATTGCACTAGCTAGTTCAATATGTTCCACACTTATCTGTAGTAAACTGGTGTAAAACAAAATCTATTATACTGTCAGTCATAGGAAAGCATGCACAAACAATCATGCACAAACATCACACCCTCCCAACAGAGATGGTTAATGACTGTTACTGGAGTCTACTTAAGTAACTAACCTGTACTAGCCAGCTTTCTGTCTGTGTGTTCTCCAATGTCTGCACAATGGTAGAACCATCTGAGATCTGAGCCCTCAGATCGGGTCCCCATAATTGACAGGCAACTGTGTTGCTGTCTCTATTTAATGGATGAGGAAAATGAAACCAAGTGCTTAATAAATAGGGTGAAGAGGAAAACAGGAGCCACAGACAGGTTTGTTTAAGAATGCCTCTATGAGCCGTTTGTAGTAGTGCATGCCTAGAACCCCAGAATCTGGAGGCTACAGCAGGAGAGTGAGCATGCACCTAGTCTGGGCCACCTACAGCAAAGCCCTGTCTCAAACAACACAAAACAGACAACCTACAGCAAAGCCCTGTCTCAAACAACACAAAACAGACAACCTACAGCAAAGCCCTGTCTCAAACAACACAAAACAGACAACAAAGCAACATTTCCGTGGTTTAATCACTTACTCCACACACATCAGAAGCACAGACTTCAAAAAGGGCTCAGAGACACACAGTGGGGTAGAACAAAGCTGAGCAACCATAAGCCAGAAGGTGAGGAATCTGGCTCCCGGTTCTGCCTCCACTGATTATTATTATGGACCGTTTTCTCATTTCTTTTTTTTTTTCTTTTTGAAAATGAAGGTATGTGTATATATATATATATGTATATATATGTCTTCCAGTACAATGCCTGCAGATGCAGTGATATTCAATAAAAATGATTGTTCTTAGCATGTGCTACAAAAAGTAGGGTGAATGCTGGGGGTGCAAAGGATTAGTGAGGGTGGGGCAGGCAGGCTGGTAGCTGACTCAGCACTTGCTGCCAATCCTGGCAACCTTGTACTGAGAGAAGTGCCCTCCAGACTTCTATAGATGCCTGTGTGCATACACACAATCAATAAATCAACACAAATAAGTGTAAAAAAATAGAGGAAGTCTGAGTGGAGGTATCTTTCATAGTGAATAATAATGCTCCCAGAAGTCATAGGTTACTAGAGAAAATCAAATGCCAGATGTGTGGGCTACCCCTTTCTTATTCATTTTTAGATTGGGAGGCCACAGAAGACCCCCTTTTCTACCACCACCATCTAGACCATTGTTGCTCCTCTTGGTTGTTTACCAGAACTAGATGGTAAAACCCTATTGCTGAAGTCACATAATTACATACTTTGGTTGTAGGACATAAAGAAATCAACCTAGAACTGAGTGAGAAGCTTCTTTCTGCTGCCTGGCTCCCATAGATCAAGGAAGTGTAATGCAGGCCTGTATGGGAGAACTGTCTCCAACAGTTCTACTGTTTTGTGGACTACACAAACTCTCTGCCAGGCCAGATGTGCCCAACGACACAATAGTGGCACAGCTCGTATGGTGGAAGTAATTACTTCCTGGTTGAATTTCAGCCTGCTCTGGAAGAGAGAATTCATGCCCAGTGTTACAAACCTGGTCAACATCCCATGGTTGGGGAGGTCAGGTCTTCTAGTGAGGAATCTACCCCTATTGCTGCATTAAATTAACATGCAGTCAAGCTGCCTTCTAAACTGTTATGTTTAAACCCATAAGTTAGCACTAGCTGAAGGAGCTACTGTTAGGTAACGGTTGCTGGGGGCAGGAGAGTCTTCTTTTCCACTGATGTTTCTCCTGGCAAATTGCCCATGGTCTAGTAAATAACCCTCCACCTACGTTCGTTCAAACAACTCTAATTAAACTCAGCGGTCCTAAAAAAAAAAAAAAGTCATGAAAGTAAGAGGGAGACTTGTTGGTATACAGGGTTCCAAAGGTCACAGGAAGAGATATATCAGGGTAATGTAGCCAAAAATGCATCATGTAAATGTGTGAAATTGTCAATGAATAAATAAAAATATAGAACTAAAGTTTTTTACTTGTTGCCGGTGCAACACTTAGCAGTATGGCGTAGGGATTGGCTGGCAGCAGCTGGGAGAGTTTCTCGTGTGCCTCAGGTTTCTGAACTTGATCTCATCTTGCTCCGGGTTATTGTAATCTTGTAACCACTCATCAAAATTTTATACACTGGTTTCAGCACCCATGGATGAGTCTTGACTAGATGATTATGATGATAATGACTTTATAACTTAATCATTTATATTATACTAATCAACAGTCTATAGTAGGAAGAATTTATTTATATCAGTGTATATATTTATATATACTATATAGTAGTATATACTTTAGTATTTATTAGTATGAATACATGTAGCATAAATAAATTTGTATAAGTAGTAAATTATTATATATGAAGTATAAATGTACATTGAATTAGTAAATAATAATTTTAATTATAGCTATAGATACTTATTTATCTCTGTGGGCTATAAAACACTACTTTTTGGATTCTCAAATTGTTCTACACTGCAAGC